TGATGTCTCCAAGAAGTGCTTTACAGTCAGAAAGTTCTGGAGTCATTTCAGTTTTTCAGTTTCAAGTCAACTTGTGTGGCTTTAGATAAGTCATTTGCCCTTTCTGGGCCTTAATCACTTCACGTGTAAAGCAAGGGCACTGGACTGCCTCTCCAAGATGCATTCCAACTCTGATCATCTCTAATTCTTCATTTCTCATTTATGCTAGTAAACCCACTGAGCAGTGTTCCTGTGATCTTAACCCCAGGGAAACGTGTGGGCATTTCATCCAAGAGTGGCCTTTGCTATCTGATCCTTTAGTGACTCAAACAGTAGAAAATCCAGGATCTTTGTTGTTGGTGATGGTAGTGGGGGCACAATTCAGAACAGACAGGTCTTCTGCACCCCTCATTTCACACCAACACACTGCCAGTATAAGTTTCCAGACCAATCTAGTGCCTAGGACATAACAGGCCCGAAAGCATTTTTATTAATTTGTAAGTATAGATTTAAGACTCAAGTCCACCAATGATTTCACTGAAAACAGTATTTGTAGGTTATTTTCTCCCTATTCTGAGAAAGGGCTTTTATTTTTTTAAACTTTTTAAATAGAGATGGTGTCTCACTATGTTGCCCAGGCTGGTCTCCAAGATGCTCCTACCTCTGCCTCCCAAACTGCTGGGATTACAGGCATGAGCCACCATGTCTGGCCTAAGAAAGGGCTTTTAGGAACTCCCTGCCTAGGAATGCAAGACCATCTTATCTCACTGGTCAAGGCCCTCAGGTGTGGGTTTTCATTCACCAGCATTGGCTGAGTACCCACTATGGGACTGGCCTGTGCTATATGAGGGGGCATCAGAGATGAACAGGAAGGGTCTCTGCTTTCAGTGAGAAGGAAACAGTCATGAGAAAGGATGAAGGAAGTGGCACCTGAGCAGTTTCAGATAAGAACAGAAAGGGCATGCCAGGCGGACAGACAGCATGAGCAAAGGCCTCTGGTGTGAGAAGACTTGGAACAACAGAGCAGCTCAATGTCCAAGCACTGCTGGTGTGTCAGGATCCAAGGAAAGAGGGCGGAGATGGTCCTGGACAGGTAGGCAGGGAACAGCTGAGAAGGGCCTATGGCTTGGCTAAGGAGTTTGGACTTGTCCTGAAGGCAGTGGGGGCTGAGAGAGGGATGTCACCGAAGATATTTCAGTATGGGCGTGTGACATGCCCAAATACTCTGATAGCAGAGCAGTGTTATCTCCTAAACTGAGGGCCTTCGGGACAGTCATGGGCCTTAGCAAAGAAGCCAGAAGAGCCCCTGTGGAACACACAGTGTTGTGGAATATTTTCCCTCAGGTTTCTTTTGTTGTTCTTGTTGATTTTTGAGACTGGGTCTCACTCCTGTCACCCAGCCTGGAGTGCAGTGGTGTGATCTTGGCTCACTGCTGCCTCAACTTCCTGAGTTCAGGTGATCTTCCCACCTCAACCTCCCAAGTAGGTAGGACCACAGCATGTGCCACCATGCCTAGATAATTTTTTGAATTTTTAGCACAAAAGAGATGGGGTTTCGCTATGTTGCCCAGGCTGGTTGCAAACTCCTGGGCTCAAGCAATCCTCCAGCCTGGGCCTCCCAAAGTGATAGGATTACAGGTCTGAGCCACCGTGCCCAGCCCATCTTAGGTTAATAAAGAAAAACATTGCTGATAAATAGCACTGGGTCTCAGCTTGCCATTATTTCCTCAGGGAAGGTTACTCTCCCTGGACCAGGTTAGCTCCTCTTGCCACATAATTCTGTGACACCCAGAACATCATCTCCTGACAGTTTCACTATTGTTCAATGCCACTCTTCCCTTCAGGACCCTAGGTTCCAAGACAGCTGGAATTTTGGTCTTTCTTTCTTACTACTGTCCCCCCAGTTGCTTGCCCAGTGCTGGCACTAGTAGATGCTCAATAAATATTCCTTGAATTAAGAACAAGAGTCACACTGGAGGCATGATCACAGAGGTGAGCCAGGGGAATGTGATTTCCCTCCTGGTGATCACTATAAATGAAACCCAGAGGCCGGGAGAGTTTCCCAAAAGAGAAGGAGTTTTAATCCGGGCTCTGTCATGTGCCCACTGGATATATTTCCCTCTGGTGTGCTCCTCATTTATGAGGTGAGGCAGGTGGACAAAAGTGATTGCTAGGTCTCTCTCTCTAACCCTAACATTTTATGCATGAAAAAATATTGCTTGCCTATGATTCTCCTCTTTCTAGAGTTTTTGTGTTTCAGAAAGATATAGCCACTGGTAAATTAAAGAATAATAATATCATGATTTTATCTAGAGAAACTGAAGTAATTTTACAAAGATGAAAGCTACAAAAATGAAAGAGTAGATCTGGGCTGTCTGGAATTTGTTCTGAAAATGGAATACTTATTTTTACAGAATGAATTAAACTGAGTTCCAATCACTTTTATAAAAGGCAAGATTTTTTTTTTTTTTTTTTTTTTTAAGGAAGAGCCAGAGCACCAGAATCAGCTCTGTTTCCCTACTCTCCCTTTGGATTTTGCTGAGATTTGGTGAAATATCTAAGACCTGTTCCTCTACTCCCTGCTTCACACTTAAGGACAGAACCCAGTAGAGCCGCTGCTAGGATCCTTCCCCCAGTGCCCATGTGCACAGCTGAGCTGCCAGAGGTGCTGAGTGGGAGGACTCCTCTGTGGGGGGAAAACCCAGCCAGCAAGCAGGAAGCTACTCACCGGAGGTCTCTTCCAGACGAACTGGATGGGGAACTTCTGGCTATAAAAGAGAGAAGTCTCATCCGGTGGGAATTCAGGGTCCACGTAAAGAACTTTCTTTTCTAGACATTTCTTGTGAAGCTGCTCAAATGTCTTCTCTTTCACTCCAATAATAGGAAAATTGCGGCTGATGATGGCTGAATAGATGCCACTTGGGTTTCCACCCCCAGCCTCAGTAGCCTTGCTCTGGGCCGGGTGAGGAACTGGCCCTGGGGACCTGGGTTCAGCCGCTGTCCTTGGAGCCACAGATGGGCTAATAACGGTTGGCATGGCAAGTGACTCTGGAATAAAAAGCTTTTTAAAGAAAACAAGATACAGCTATCTTCAAGGAAAGGAAGCAACTGTAAAGGGGAAGTTGGAGTAATTCTGTCATCTGAGAGAAAAGTGTCCATATCCAGTTCAAAGTTGAAAGCCCATCAGGAGGTCGTACAGGGTCATGTCCATCTTAAAAATTGAGCTGTAATCCTGAAGACATAAGTTTTCCTGAGAAAGGAGTGCTAAAGGATTTCTGAAGCAATGTTTACCTGGGGGCTCCTATCAGCAGCATGCATGTCAGAGGGAGAGAGAAAGAGAGTGAGGGTTGTGTTTCAGTGGCCTGAAGAAGCTTGAGCCAGGAAAACTAAAAATAGATGTGAAGAAACACTGCGAGTATGAGGGCAAGAGAGCCTGCATGGTAGAGAAAGGAGAACCTGGCTAGGGACATCTCTGTTGCAATGAAGTGCTAGTGTTGTCAGAAAATGAAAAGGGAGTATCTGAGTAAGGTGAACGCTGGAAATTAGCTGAGAACTGCTGACATGTTACTGAGTAGGCAGTTATATAGACCACCCAAATACTGGCCACCAAATGAATGGAAAACAGTATTGCAAAGAAGCTAGTTAGGGTGAACGGGAGGTACTGAATTCTAGGAAAATATTCTGTGAATTTTAGAGAACATGATTTTCATTCCTAAAACTTTAGGATATCAGAACATTATTCAATGTTAGATTTGGCATCTTTTCTAGAATGTTCTGGGTCAGTGTTCATTGGAAATGTCTGCACGGAAAATCATACTCATCAGAGTCCCTGGTTGAGAAACTCCCTGTCACTACCTGTGTACTTGACCTTGCCACCTCTTGTTTCTCCCCACCCCCCAAAAGAAACACTAGGACTGAATCTGCTACAAAAAGTGCACCTGGGCACAGTAAATCCTCATTTAACGTCATTAATAGGTTCTTGTAAACTGTGGCTTTAAGCAAAATGATGTACTGTGTAGCAAAACCAAGCTAACTGATATAAACAAGAGTTATGTCCCTATAGCACACAATATGTTTTGCTTAAAGTCACAGTTTACAAGAACCTATCAACGATCTTAAGTGAGAACTTACTGTACAGGTTATATGTTGACTAGTTCAGCCACACCACATTAGGTATCTGAGACATAAGTTGGAACTGGATACTGAACCAGACTGCCTGTCAAGTCCTGGGATGCCACATCTAAGAAGCCGGTTTCAGAGCTCTTAGATGAAGCATAAGTGGCTCTGGGGAAGGGAAGTGCCTGCCTGGCCTCCACCTTGCCTTCTACCCACAATACCAGCTCCAAAAAGGAGGCGACCACATTTAAACTATGGCAGAGTGGAGGCATGTCCTAGACTGCAGTCGTGCCTGTTTCCATGCAACCTGTCTCAGTGATCCCAGGTTAGCGGCTATGGAAGAAGGTAGGAAGTGACAGGTAAAATAGTGAGTACTATCAGCCTCCTGATCCCTGGGGTTGCAGTTTTGAAGAACTCTGTCTGGGCTTGCAGGACCATCAGCCTAGCCTTCTGTCCCTCCAAGAAAATGCCCAGGGCTCTTTAACTGGGGAGGCAGAATAGAGGACAGCGGTCTCTGGAGGCTGACCATCTCGGTTCAAAGTCTAGGTTGGCCCCTTACTGGCTGTACCTGTGTAACTTTAGCTGAGTTATTTCTTCCGTTCTGTCTCAGATTTCTCACCTACAAAATTGGTACAATTACAGTCATTCTGTTATTAGGTTTCTGTAATGATTAAATAATTTATGTAATGCATTTAACATAGTGCCAGGATTGTCTTAGGCACTCAATAAATGGTGTTGTTAGAGAAAACCTGAATTTAATATTACTTTGGAGTTAGATCAGGTTAAATGATACATTCATTTGCTGACACAAATCAGCATTCACTCAATGGGCATTAACTGAGTATCTGCATGTGGACAGCACAGAAATAGGTATAATCTGCCCAGGCTCACGTAGTATACAGCATCTCCAATCAGAGGCTGGCCTATCTTCCTGTACTAAAAAGATGGACCTCCACCTTCAAAGTCACCAATGGCACAGACAGCAAAGGTAGGGTTTCCTTCCCCCACTGTTGTAAGTTTGGGTCCCAAACCAGCATTCTATCCCACCCTGAAATTCACAGCACAGACCCACAGTTTATTGTTTCTGTTTATTTAACTTCCTGTTTGCCCATAAGACCGTGAAGCTGGGAACTGGGTTCCCATTTCCCTCTCAGGTTTAGGCATATAGAAGGCCCTTAATAAACATGTGTTATATATCTGGTAAATGAAATTTTCCTACACAAAGAGAAATTTCTTACACTTTTGGCTTTGCCGGTGCAATCAAAGAGTCTCGGCTCATCTGCTCCAGGCGGAGGAGCTGTTTTGGGCCACACACCCACTGAGCTTTCTTTCCTTAGCTGTCTCAGCCAGCACCATCTGTGAGTAACTAACAGCAGTGTGTGACAGTGGTGAGCCTCTTGTCAGAGCAGGTAGGTATATCAAACACAGAAAGGGCAAGGTGCCATTCGTTTTGCTCCATTAGCTGTTGTGGATAAAACATTCTCTCAGATGAACAGGTCCAAACTCAAAGTTTATTCAATGGCACAGCTGTGGAAACCAATGCTATCAGGAAGAAATCCAACTTGGGCCCATGAACAAAGGGCAGATAAAGAGTATATAAACAGCGGCTCATTTCACTTCCCAGAAGCCCCTTCAAGGATAATTAGTTTTTATAACATACTTCACCCACCGTCATGTAATCTCTGTGGCTAGAATGGTTTCCGTTGCACAGCATTGCCAACTAATGACTGTCTTTGCCACCAAGAAGCATTTCTTGGATTTCTAACACCATTGGAAGCAATGTCTTTGCTTATAATTATAATACCTCTCATTAATTAAGTGCCTACTGGGAGCTAGCCACTTCAAAGAGACCTTCAAAAAACTCATTTTAAAATAATTTTTGACTTACAAAAGAGTTGCAAAGATAGAACTCCTCAGTGTCCTCCAGTCTCTGATAATTCCACAGTGTTTGTCTCTCATGACCCTGACACTTTTGAAGAGTACTTGTCAAGAGTTTTGTAGAATGACTCTAAATTTGGATTTCTCTGATATTTTTCACATGATTAGACTGAGGTTATGGATTTGGGGGAAGACTATCACAGATGTGACATGGCCATCTCCATCTCCTCAAACTGTATTTGTGGGTACGTTATTGATAGGTTTTATTACAGGTGATGTCAACTTTGATCACTTGCCTAAAGTGATGTTTACCAGGTTTCTCCCTGGTAATGTTACTGTTTTTCCCTTTCTGTACACATAAAATATTTTAAATCTGTAGAACAACTCTGCAAGTTTGACTAATTCCATTTTGCAACTGAGGAAACTTGAAATATCTGATGTATTTTTACAGTTAAGTATTGGAAAACTCACAGAATTTTAGAGATTATCTCTTTCCTTTCTTTCTTTTTTTTTTTTTTTTTTTTTTTTTAACAGTCTCGCTCTGTCGCCAGCTGAAGTGCAGTGGTATGATTTCGGCTCACTACAACCTCCGCCTCCCAGGTTCAAGTGATTCTCCTGCCTCAGCTTCCCGAGTAGCTGGTAATACAGGTGTGCACCACCAGGCCTGGCTAATTTTGTATTTTTCGTAGAGATAGGGTTTCATCATCTCTACTAAAAAGTTTGGCCAGGCTGGTCTCAAACTCCTGACCTCAAGTGAACCACCCACCTCGGCCTCCCAAAGTGTTGGGATTACAGGCGTGAGCCACTGAACCAGGCTTAGAGATCTTCTCTTTAACAAAGTGCAGAGAGGTTAAATTCCATGGCCAAGATCACTCGGCCAGTTCACTGTAGAACCAAACTAGACTCCAGGTCTCTTGATTCCCATCGAAGTAAATGTATGAATAAGATTTAACTGATGTGAATTAGGCATGAGATCGCCATAGCCTTGCATATAAGTAGTTGAGCTCCTCTTCTCCTGGCTCTGACTAGACAGCAGTCTAATACCATTGGCCTGGCTGGAAACAACTGTCAAGAAGCAGCTGCTGCACTTTGGGTGGCCAGGGTGGGTAGATCACATGAGGTCAGCAGTTTGAGACCAGCCTGGCCAACATGGTGAAACTCCATCTTTACTAAAAATACAAATTAGCCAGGCCTGGTGGTACACACCTGTAATCCCAGCAACGTGGGAGGCTAAGGCAGGAGAATCACTTGAACCCGGGAGGTAGAGGTTGTAGTTGTAGTGAGCAGAGATCATGTCACTGCATTCCAGCCTGGGTGACAGAGTGAGACTCTGTCTTGAAAAAAATAAAGCAGCAGCTGTCTAATTCTGGCAAGTCTTGCTGTGGCACTAGAGCTTTTAGCAAGGCTGGTCATGAGACAAGCAGATTTGATATTAGATGCCAATGTCTGTTATTTCTTCTAGAACGCTAGCTATATGGCCTCTGTGGTCAGTGGCTAATATGATAGCCTGTTTCCAGTGGAGCTGCTGATGGCTTTCTATCTCCTGGCCTGAGAAGTTTTTTAGTCTAGAGTAGCTCTCTGAGGGTTTGGTTGGTGGAAATCCTAAAAGCAGAGTGGAATGCTTGATATTGTCAGAGGAATCTCATTACTCAGGCTTATTAGGCAGCGTGGTTAATTAGCTGAAAACCATTGAGCTCCCAATGTTTATGTGCTTTGACTGTGTTTCTGCTGCTTATCATTATGATGCCTTGATAGTGAAAGGTATGTGACAAAGTGAAGGAATTCTGCACACAGACCAGACTCCAGAATTGTATTTTCCTTAAAACAAAGAAAATTGTTTTATATGATCCTAACACAATGCTTAAAAGTAAAAAAATTACCATATAATCAAAAGATCCCATTCCAATGTTGCCAACTGTCCCAAAAGAGAAGGTAAGGCTGGGAGCAGTGGCTCATGACTATAACCCCAGCACTTTAGGAGGCCAAGGTAGGAGGATCATTTGGGCCCAGGAGTTCAAACTGGGCCCAAACAGGCTAAAAGATTTTTGATATTGTTGCCAGATTGCCATCCTGAAAGATTATACTTACATTTTTCTGTTGGGTAGTTTCCGTTTTTAAACTGATTTGTCAACTCATTCCTTGACATTTACATCTTGAAGGAAAGACATACTATGTATTCATTTTAGAGCTTTTTTAGGAACCCTGTTGAAATGAACAAAATTCCTTACATAAAATCCAGTTTCCTGTGAAATCATATTAAGAATTAGCCACAATAAAGTAATTTAATGCTTGTAGGACAACTCAGCCCCATATTGCTCTCTAGCACACAAATTCAGCAATGGGAGGTAGGTAAAGTGTGAGAAGCAGTAAGAGCAGAAAACCACTAAAAACACCCAGACTTTCTCTGCATTTGTCTGTAGCCAAATGTTTCAATATAGATTTGGGTCAAAACAGAGCAGTTCTTCATTAACTTACTCTACTAGTTACTGTTCCATTCCCCCAACAATATTTTAAATGGAAGAACAGACATGTTATAAATGTTGACCTAAAGATAGTTCTTATTGAACTTTAAATGCTATTAAAAACTATCATTTATATTAGGGAGGAGCACCCAGTCTTCTGGCTAAGTTTTATTTTAGGTTGGCAAGAGACATCTGAAGATAGGAACTATAACTTCAGCTAATACAAGGTTGCTCCTTTCTTCTCAACCGCAAAACTTAAAGAAATACGAGCAAAGAATCTGTGTGGGTCTCTGTGAGCTTACATATGGTGCAGAGCTCAAATCTCAACTCATACAATGAAATGTGTCCATGAGGAAATGCACAATATTGATTGCCTTTGGGAAGAGTCTTATGTCAAAAAAGGAAATCACATGGAAATACATCAATTATAATTTTTTAATCAATTAAATCCACCAGCTAAGCAATCACAGCCGAACAGTTACTGAAAGTCAGGTATAATGGTGCTCTATCAGACAGAAGAGAAATAGAACATGCTCTTGAGGAACATACAATCTAATAGGAAAACAGAGACATACTGGAAACATTAAGACATGATCCCTGAGAATGCTAAGTAGAGCACAGTTATAAGTGGGACAGCATTTCAGGGAAGGGCAAAATCACTGCTAATGGGTGTGGGGATAGGGGTGTTGGGGTAGTTAGGCTTCATGGGAAAGTGAGATTTGAGTTGGGCCTAGAAGGATGGTAAGGGTTGGTGGGGATATTGCTGCCCAGGGATCAGAAGGTACAGAGGGGGCCGTTGGCAAGTTGCTAAGTGGAGGAAGCCTGATGAGAAGAGGTGTGTGTTAAGGAGTGCTGAAGAGTTGAGGCTGTCAAAACAGATGGTGCAGCAGGCAGCAGGGAGCCACAGGGGTCTGTAGATCCATGAGCATCATAACGTGACTGGTACGTTGTAATGTTTTGCCTCATGGCAAGCCATATTAAAGCCTGGGACAAAAGGAAAACTCAGCAATACGAATCCTGTCTTTATTTTAAATTTTGATATTTTGTTCATCATGGGTATTTTTTGCATTAATTCTGATTTTTAAAAATAGTGCACTGAAATATTACTTATTTTGATTACTGTATTTTTTGGTGTCCCTTAAATTTTGTGCCCAAGGCCAGGGCCTCACTTGCCTCATCCCAGTCCCAGCCATGAGTTCTACTTCTAAAGTTCAGTAGAAGTAAACATACGTATTTATTTCATTGTTATTAATTATAGCTTACTGATATTACAAATATTCTTTGGTTAGTAGATAGCACTTAATTAAAAAACAGCTTAAAAGACATGGATTTTAAGATTAGCCTGAGAAGCACAAAAGGAAAAAGAATCCTTTGTGCTACCAAGTTGATCTCTAGGGGAGAATAACTCCCACTGGTGCAGAGCATGCAGTACAAACCCAAGAGGGCTGTGCTTTGTCTAGTCCATGTAGGTGAAAGATAACTGGGGAGTACCAGAGGCTGCTGTCCACTTGGAGACTGGCCTTGAGCAACTCGGCTGCTGCAGCCAAAGAGCCAATGTCACATGGCCTGAGGCAAGCCCTGGCAAATGGGCTGCCCAGGTAGGCTTGGCACACATTAAAACAGACATGCAGCCCTGCTCAAGGAATGGAAGCAATGGAAGACTCCTGAACACTATAAATGTCTCAGGGTATGTGTCCAGGAAAAAAGGTAATGTCTGACACAAGGAATATTGCTACTACATGTAAAATCGGAAATTTTAAAACATGAAATCTATTGTTCATTAGTATAATGGTAATGAATGAAAGATTATTTTGACTCAGGGAAGGCAAGCAGATTGCAGCGCAAATCTCAAAAAAGGCAAGGAGAAAGGGTGAAAAGGGCAGGCAGGTCCCTGCTCACATCACCAAGGGCAGTTCTTTGTCATATGATGTGGACCTCCCAGTCAGTGGCAATGTTGAGTGAGAGCTTCTTCAGATTCAGGGTGGATGTTTTGGCACAATACATAAAAGCCACAGGCTGTTCTTTACCATCTAACAGCAAGACAATAAAAGAGGGAAATTTTGATGAATCTCCAGAGGGGAAAAATATTGTCTTCAAATCTGAAATGTTTTCTCACTCGAGTATAAAACCTTATACCCCACTCCAATTTAATAGCACTTTTACCCATGAACTTCCATGAAGTTTTAGAAACATGGAAAACTTCATTGTTTTGAGCACAAGATTGGCTGAAAAGAAACCATAAGGAACAAATAAATTTGTCTAAGAACTTCAGGAAGCAAGGAAGGATTTAAGTCCCATCCTGCCCTTTCATAAACTCCAAACACATGGGTAGGATTCTCCAGGTCTTCAGATAGCTATAGTTTAAACAAATATTCAGAGAAGCTATAATAGTATTTCAAGCCCCAAATAAGTTTCCTTAGAAAAACACTAAAAGTGAGCAGAAAGATCAACTAATGAAGAGAAGCAAGATGGCATCATTTATTCTAGAGACTAGTATATTTCACCTCTACCTGAAGCACACAGTCCACTCAGACTAAGCATATTATGTCGGTTTGGGGACTAATCATCTCTTCTCTCCAGATAATTCTGTCTATAAAAACAAATGGTGAGGTCAGAATGGACTGCTTTCTCACCGGATGAGTGGGTAATCACAGAAGATGGCTCCTTCCTGAGGCCTAAGACCAAGATTTGCTCCACCACACACTTGCTGGGATAATGACCCCTCTGGTCGGCAGAACTGGAATAGATACAAACAGTATTAAAAGGACAGTGACAGGGGTTTGAAATGGCTGCCAGCTCAACATCTCTAGCCTTGTGATTTCCTCTCCCATATGTCTGCTGGGGGCATGATCCATATAGGAGTCATATTTACTAGGATGAAGAGATAATAAAAGATGACTTGGCCAGGCACGGTGGCTCATGCCTGTAATCCCAGCACTTTGGGAGGCCGAGGTAGGCAGATCGCTTGAGGTCAGTAGTTCAAGACCAGCCTGGGCAACATGGCAAACTCCTGGTGCTACCAAAAATATAAAAATTAGCCAAGAGTGGTGGTGCGTGCCTGTAGTCCCAGCTACTTGGGAGGCTGAGATATGTGAATCCCCTGAACTTGGGAGGTGGAGGTTGCAGTAAGCTGAGATTGCACCACTACATGCCAGCCTGGCTGACAGAATTAGACTCCATCCCAGAAAAATTAAAAAAAAGACCACTCTATGTACCAAAGAACAGCTAACCGGTGCCAAACTAGGCTCTCTTTAACAAGTATTTGAAGAAAAATCACTGAAGAACACAAAAGTTACAAATGTGACTGGAATGTTATAATTAAATTGTAATAAGTCAGGTATTTAGTGAACTGGTGAATGGATGAATGAATGGAATTAGTGGGAGCTTAAATTAAGTCCTTTTTTTTTTTTTAGAAAGTAGAGGAAAGGAAAGTAGAGACAATAAAGGAGGATCGTTTATGGTAGAGTGGTTGAAAAACACTCCAGAAATGGGCCAAGCGCAGTGGTTCATACCCGTAATTCCAGCACTTTGAGAGGCTAAGGTGGGTGGATCACCTGAGGTCAGTAGTTCAAGACCAGCCTGGCCAACATGGCGAAACCCCATCTCTATTAAAAATATAAAAATTAGCTGGGTGTGGTGGCACATGCCTGTAGTCTCAGCCACTCAGAAGGCTGAGACAGGAGAATTGCCTGAACCTGGGAGATGGAGGTTGAAGTGAGCCAAGATCCTGCCACTGCACTCCAGCCTGGGCGACAGAGCAAGACTCTGTCTCAGAGAAAAAAAAAAACAAAAAACAAACAAAAAACTCCAGAAATGGCCTTCATTTGTTTCTTTAAATAGTACCTTAAAACATCACCTGTGGATTTGAGGATGTCAAACAGATAGTGTGATTTATTTAAGAAAACAAACGGTTTCTTTAGCTGCCATTACCTATTGATCAAAACACTGGAACAGAATGAAAACTTCCTGTGCAAAAATTGCTGCTGGTGGAGGTACTGGAATGAATGGCCATCATCAAGATATAACTCACCCACTGAAGAACCCTGAGGAATGAATCACAGAGACAGAATGTGGTTATATAATAGCTTTACAGGAAAAGAATGTCAGCTCCTAAAGGGTTACAATAGAGTAAAAAGTTTGTGAAAAATTCAAGCTATATGAGGTAGTCGTACAAATATCTAATATATTCAATAGCCAATCATTCCTGAGTAGATAGTAAAACAATAGGAAAGTCACGTAAGAAGAGCACAAAGAGATAGGCTTTGTTGAAAGAATTTAAACTATGATGTATGTTCAGTTGTATAAGTGAATTCCCTGAAAAATACTCCACCAGAATGTGACAACAAGGCCAAGAAAGTTCACAGAACGATACTGATGTTAAAAAAAAAAAAATCAATATATAATAGATGAGATCAACTGTCTTTAGAAGACCCTCCACTTAGAGAATGGTATCTGGTTCTTTCTTTTTTTTCTTGGTAGGAGGATCCCTATTACATGTCAAACAATGTCACAGCACTCCATGTGGCAATTTATTATTATTGACAATACTCGATATGCTATGAATCTCTGGTCTTTTGTATTTATTCTGGAGCCTCACATGGGTTTGGGGCCCATGGTTTGGCCCAAGAAGACATGCCTAAGTAACAAGGAAGAAAAAAATGTATAAGTGAATTATCTTATAATATTGATATCAATGCAAACAAGTATTAATACAGTTAAGAGGAAGGTTTGGTGTGTGTTTAGCCCCATATTACATTTGAACAAACGGACAGAAGAAGAATCTGCTACAGGCCTCACTAGGCTCAAAAATCTTCTCAAAATGACACATTTCTAGATCCTCCCAGGCTTTGGTTTTAGTTGTTGGAGCTACCTGATGAGAAATCACTGGGTGGGACTGAGGTCTCTGAAATGGTGCATAGATATGGGTACCATTTAATGGAGACTGGGTTTTGGCGCTATCTAAGTGGAAGGCTGCCTATGGCCCAAAAAGCATTCATTCTAGTAGTAATCAGTGTTAAGCTCAAGAGCACCAACAGTCAAGTGCCCAAGAGGAACATTCTGTCATTCCCAGATCTCAGAGTTCCCTTAAGAACAATTCCAGGAAAAGCAGATAAGCTGAACAATGATTCAGAACAGAAATGATTCAAAACCTTGATTTCTAGATAAATGTCAGGAGCACCTATCTCATAGATGGAGCTCACCACTTTTATGTGGTGTCCCAAACTCAAAAAGCTACCAATGGAAAGAGAGAGTAGAAACAAAAAGGGTAACAGATTTTCCAAATACCTTAGTGCTTAGAGCAACCCGGAGTCCATAGGAAGATTCAGTCATCCAGCCTGTGGATTTTCCTACAGTTGTCTTTATTGGTACCACACTTCCACCTCGCTGAAACACTGGTATCTATAACACAGCAGCATGCTCAGGGAAGCAGTATTCATATAAGAAAATTTCAAGGTAGAATTTAAAAATATTTCATTTTAAAAGTTTCACACTCTTTACAAGTACAGATTCATAGGCAAAACAAATTTTAGGGCATAGAGATGGCAAATATGGGGGTCCTGGTATTAAAAGGAAAGAGCACTAACGCTAAAGAATGGTCCATTTTTTACTTCTTAGGGAAAGTTCCCACCCTTCACTGGTTTGTTATCTACGTCTGTCTTTGTTGTTTTTTCCTCTTAAGTGATGAATTCTTTTCTACCTATCCTATAAATGGCCTTTCCTATTTTGCATTTTAAATTTTCTATCAGTATAGTATACATGCTTATTTCTAGAGCCCTGCTAAAGAATGAAGTTTTCTGTCTTTGCAAGTGGGCCCAGAAGTCTGTTTCTATGTGTGCATGTATAACTGATAGCGGATTTTTGGTTTGGGCAGATGACTTTTGTCCTCACTCACTGCAGTCTGTCCCCTTCTTGCTCCCTGTTTCTATGGCTCACCTGGATGACTAATTCCATTCTGAGGGTAAATCTGTGAAACTGCTTCTGTTATATTAGAGATCACCAAGGGTACTTTAAGAGACCCTAACAACAGGCCCATAACCATGGGTCTTCTGAAATGGCACTCTAGGCAGCAACGCCTGGGTAGGTTTCCCGCCTCCTGTAAGGAAGCTGCCTGTGTCATAGGAGTGTTTCTGTTTTGCTTTGATTCAAGAATGAGCACGCAGGAGAGTACAAGAACACGCATGAAGTTGAGATTGAGGACAGAGTAGTTCAGATGTCCAACCTCTGCTTAACTTGCCTTGGCAGCAAGAAGTAAAGCACTTCCATCTCCCCACACATGCGTCTCCCTCATTGGCCAATCTCTCCTTTCTTTTTTCTTTTTTTTCCCAAAGAACAAGGCCATAAGTTAGAGTGAAATGGGCTCTAGAATGGGAGTCCAGCCCAAGGAAATGCACTTGAGGGGTCTGCCTCAGTTCTGCCACAAGTTTGCTGTGTCCCCTGGTCAAACAATTAACTTCTCTGAATCTCAGGTTTATTCTTTATCTGTGTGAGGGATTATAGTAGATGATTGTTAAAGTTCTCTTCTAGATCTGAAAGTTGATAGCTGAAATTATTTTTTTTAAATAATGGGGTTCATATTGCTACTGATGGTTTACAAAATAATATCAGTATCTACTTATCAATCTTCGCACTGTAGTAGTGTGGCAGTGGTTGTGATTCAGATGTAGGAAGAAAGTTCCCTTTAGAAACTCAAGACAGCCTGGATGGACCACTTTGATTTTAACTCCATAACTGATGTATTTCCTTGGGCCCAGGGTTACAACTGAAAACTCCTGTCTTTTGCCTTAGTCCTGGAGAATGACATTCCAGATGGCACATGTGGTGACTACCATGTTTTCTATGTTTTTAGTGTGTTTGTTCTTTTTAGACACACAAATGTAAACATACAGGGAAGAGCTGTGTTTGTCCCTGATGTCTCACTCTGTGAAATCACAGTAGATGTGATTTTTAACTATTTTCTTCCTCACATTTTACAGCTTTGTCAGAATTCATATACCATATAAATCACCAACTTAAAGTACACAGTTAAACAATTTTCAGCACATTCAGAGTCATGCAACCATCACCACAATCATTTTTAAAGCATTTTCATCACCCTAAAAGGAAACTTTCTGCCCCAGCACTAGGCATCCCTGGACCTACCTTCTGTTTCTATATGTGCTATTGTACAGAATGCTAGCATCCTTGTTTTTTCTATAGAGGAACACATTATGGAGTTAATGTTTGTATCTCTCCAAATTCATATGCTGAATCCCCAAGCCCCAGATATTTGTAGATTGGGCCTTTATGATGTTAACTAAGGTGAAAAATGTGGTCATAAGGGTGGGTTCCTGAAATGAGAGGAACAGTGTTCTTGTAAGAAGAGAACTGAGATAGCGCCCTCTCTTTATCTCTCTCTGCCATGTGGGGGCACAGCAAGAAGGTAGCAGTTTATAGGCCAGGAAAAGTCCCTCACCAGGAAAAGATTCAGCTGGCACTTTGATTTGGAACTTCCAGCCTCCGAAACTTTGAGAAAAGCAGCTTCTGTTATGTAAAATCACCCAGTCTGTGGTATTTTGTCATGGCATCCCTAGCTGACCAATAGAGCACAATAGGTAAAAACAGTAGTCTGAAAATAACTTACAGTGTCCAAGGCTACTGGAATCTTTACAGTACACCCTCCTTCCCAACAAGCAAATGTCTTACAGTCATACCAGACCTAGAAAGTAAGGGGGCCCAGTAAAAAAGAGTACATCAGCAACTTTGCTCACCATTTCAATACTCAGTGAAGCATCCACTTACCTGGATTTCAAATAACCAGAAAGCTGAAATAAGTGTAACTTAGAAAATATATTAGGTAGAAGTTAGGAAGAACATGTGCTTTTAAAAAGATCTCAAAGGACTGTGGCTGATTAATTTAACTAAAAGGCCATTTGTTTCTCTATTCATCCAAAAGCTACTTATTGAACAATTTACTATGTGCCCAGCACTGTGCCAGGTGCTGAGTATACATGACTGAACAGAAAAGACATAGTTCCTGTCCTCATGGATTTTTATTTTATTTTATTTTTGAGACATAGTCTCTCTTTCTGTTGCCCAGGCTGGCATGATCTCAGCTCACTGCAACCTCCATATCCTGGGTTCATGCGATTCTCCCTGCCACCTCCATATCCTGGGTTCAAACGATTCTCCCTGCCTCAACTTTTCCAAGTAGCTGGGATTACAGGTGCCCACCACCATGCCCTGCTAATTTTTGTATTTTTAGTAGAGATGAGGTTTCGCCATGTTGGCCAGGCTGGTCCCAAACTCCTGACCTCAAGTGATCCGCCCGCCTTGGCCTCCCAAAGTGCTGGAATTACAGGCCATCCTCATGAATTTTAAAGTCCACTTGGCTTATAAAAACTTAATGCTTCTAGTATGAAAGAGATGATGGAGAAGAGGAAAAAAAAAAAAAAACAAAGAAGACAAGCACATTGTAGGCAAATAAATTACAAAAGAGGCAGGAGAAAAGGAAGCATCAGAGAAGGAAACATACCTGGGAGGAAAACAAATGGAAACTTGAATTACTACTATAGTACCATTTTTTTTTTTTAAAGTACAATTGAAGGATAAGGTTCTTCAAGGGGGTTTAGCTGCTGAAGTACCAATAAGGTCTCATAAAGTAATTTGATAGGATAAATTCTTCAAATATCATCAGAAGCATAATTAAAACAAACATCTTTTTCTTTCTTTTAGCTGAGACACTTTCTGACAGCCCTGGAGTCTATTTTGCAAGTTCAACTCCTGGGATTACCACATCCTTCAGATGGCAGTTATGTGAAGCAAGATAATCACAAAACAGTCCAGGAAATAGTACTGAAGGAACATAATACACACTCACAATGAAGTGTTTGGAACGATGATAGATTATGAATAAAAATCTGTAAGTTGGAAAGGGACTAGTTCCTCTTAACGGGAACCCACCACTTTGCTGGAAATCAACTTGAGAAATTCTCAGCAGAAATATCAGGCAGGGCATTTATTCAGCAGTTGTTGGATTTAATCTTTTCCTCAAGTTTCTACTTGGCAGGGGAACTCTAGTAAAGTGCCCTCAACTTCAGAACTCCAAATAACTGGAGAAGCCAAGAGGACAGACAATAGTTAATGAACATTCTGGAGAGAAGCCTGGTTATTGTTCTGTCAATAATAACAAGCATAGTAAGTGGAACTGTGGCCCTTCAAAAAGATGTATTCACGTCACAATCCATGGAAGGAATGAATATTACCTTCTATGGTCACATGCTTGATTAAGTTAAAGATCCTGAGACAAGGAGGTTATCCCAGATTATCCAGGTGGGCCTTCAATGTGACCATAAGTGTCCTTAAGAGACAGACAGAGACCCACAGAGGAAAAGGCAACGTGAAGACAGGTGAGACCGCAGTGATGTGGCTACAAATCCAGGAAGCCCCTTTGGAAGCTGGGAGGGAGGCATGAACAGATTCTCCCTCAGAGCCTCTAAAAGAAACCAACCCTGACAACACCTTGATTTCAGACTTCAAGCCTCCAGAATTGTGAGAGAATAGTTTTGTTGTTTTAAGCCATTACATTTGTGGTAATTTGTTACAGAAGCCTCAAGAAACTAAAGAACAACCAAAGCTAGGTTGAGGGAGAACATGGCGCTGGGTGTGGTTTCGTGGGGTTGCCAGCCCAGTGTGTGACAATACTGAGCAGGGAGTGCAGCCTGGCTTAGCTACTTTGCCACTTACCTTGACAGCCCAGGACTATGTGGCGTGGCAGTCCCATGCCAGCTCCATATCTGCATGTCTCTTTCCCCGACTGCTGGAGCCTGTGGCATGCTACAGTGCTCAAGGATGCTCTCTAGGGTTTTGTCTCCTTCCTGCTCTCCCTTCCACACCCTTTTTCCTTAGTCTGGTGCCCTGAGTTTTGCTCCAGCTCTTCTTCTGGCCCCTCTAGATCTGTCTGTGGCCTGTCTTTGGAGGCTGCTCATATTACCATGGCTCTCTACCTGCAGACCACCAGTATTCCCTCCTCTCCCCTGTGCCTTGCCTGGGTTCAATGCACTGGGCTCCAGCAGGTCCAAAATGATATTTTATGCGTGGGACAGTAATTAGTGACAATAATAACAGAGCGAGGAATCTGGGAGGGGAGTCACTACTGTTACTTTCTACCCACTTTGTTGAGTACACTGAGACCAGCTTTTGGTATCAAAAATTCAGGCTTCAGATAGACCCATACGAAAGAGCAAAGTCTCTTCATATCTGCTTTCCCCCAGAGTTTGATACCTCATAGCATACTGAAGATTTCTTCTTACCCCAAGCCTTGATGTGTTTATGAGGACTCACTTTTACTAGTCAAAGTGTGAAGATTAAAAATCATTTTGAGGCCGGGCACGGTGGCTCACGCCTGTAATCCCAGCACTTTGGGAGGCCGAGGCGGGTGGATCACGAGGTCAAGAGATCGAGACCATCCTGGTCAAAATGGTGAAACCCCGTCTCTACTAAAAATACAAAAAATTAGCTGGGCATGGTGGCATGTGCCTGTAATTCCAGCTACTCAGGAGGCTGAGGCAGGAGAATTGCCTGAACCCAGGAGGCGGAGGTTGCGGTGAGCCAAGATCGTGCCATTGCACTCCAGCCTGGGTAACAAGAGCGAAACTCTGACTCAAAAAAAAAAAAAAATCATTTTGATCCTCCTTGGAATCCTCACCAATTCATTTTTCTCTCTCTTCTCCTTCATTAAGTTGCTTGACCTCTGAGGACAGTGGTCATGACTTATTATAATCGTTACTTGCTACAGTTATTTGGGGTGTGTTGACAAACACATGATGAAGAAATCTCTTTCCTAAGAGAAATGAATGGATGAGAGATACGAGACATATCAGATATGTGGCTGTTTGTTATTAGTCTTACCTCATTCGATCCTGGCAGAAACACATCAACTATGGTGGCTTTTGGTTCTGTGACTGGATGAACCAACAATGCACTCCCTAAGCAATGGAGAGGAAATAAAGTTGAGTATCATTATTACAGGTCTAAAAATTTCCTTTCCCTTTAGTTGAGTGGTGTTATGGACCACCCGACTGTGAACTTCAGAGAGGCAGAGACTGAGTTGAACCAATGATTCGTCAGAGATGCAATGACAGAGAGAGGGCAGGCACTCAAAGAGGTAAGCTCAAAAAGGTCATCACCTGTCATTACTATACTTTGGGTATACTGAGATTACAGGAAGGGACTCTGACACAGTCCATTGGTCTCATTTTGTATCTATCTGCTAGTGTGTCAGTAGTCAAAGTATCATTGCTCCTTTCCAACTGCTTCATTGTTTGCTGTGAGTGATGCTGATGATGGGGAGCCCACAACTATTATCCAGAAGTGTGGTTAGCGTGGATGCTCAGAATCTCTTGCTTAGACAGGTATCATCAGAGAGGCTGTAGTTTTCTTTTTTTTTTTCTTTTTTCTTTTTTTTTAAGAGACAGGAGACAGGGTCTTACTCTGTTGCCCAGGCAGGAATGCAGCAGTACAATCACAGCTTACTGCAGCCTCTAATTCCTGGGCTCAAGTAATCCTCCAGCCTCAGCCTCTGAGTAGCTAGGACTATAGGTACACGCCCACCATGATAATTTTTAATTTTTTTATAGAGACAGGGTCTTGTTATATTGCACAAGCTAGCCTCAAACTCCTAACTTTAAGCGATCTTCTTGCACTCGGCCTCCCACAGTGTTGGGATTATAGGCATCAGCCACCATGCCTGGCCTCTAGTTTTCTTAGAGGCAATCTGGATTATTAACTTCGATTTGACCTTGGAGCAACACATAGGTAAAAATCACCCATTTACGAATTTGCTCTTTTATTCAATAAATGCTTATTTTGAGTGCCTACTGCATGCCAGGCACCATGGTAGGCTCTGGGGATATAGTGGCCAATAAGATAAGCATGGCTCCTGACCTTATGGAGTTTACAGTTAGTGAAAACGTATATTAATAAATAATTGCAAATTAATTAGAATTAAGACAAATACCAAAAGAAGCAAAATCACAAAATGGAATGAAAGTTACATAAGAGGGACTAATGTTGACTAGGTAGAATTAGGTATAAGGAAACAAGGAGTGGTCAGGGAAGTATCTCCAAGGCAGTGACCATTAAACTGAGGCCTAATGATGAGTGGAGACTTAAAGAACTCAGAAATGGAGCTGGGCACAGTAGCTCAATCCTGTAATCCCAGCAATTTGGGAGGATGAGGTGGGTGGATCCCCTGAGCTCAGGAGTTTGAGATCAGCCTGGGCAGCAAGGTGAAATCCCATCTCTACTAAAAATACTCAGAAACGAGATTCACCATTTGGGGAATGGTACATTTAGCCTGGCTTCTTGAGCTCCATTACTAAGTTGATAAACTTCCATATTCTGGATTTGATAGTTCATCTTTGTTAAAGAAGAGGTCAACCAAATAAAAACTCTACTATTACTTCTGGTTCTTTACTATCACCACCTGGACTGTTTTATCTACTTCCCTTCCCCATAGTAATCTCAGGCTTAGAGGAGTGAATCCAGAACAAGAATCCTAAATGACTCCACAAATAGGATAGATTTATTTGATGTTAGCAAGAACAATATTATAATAAATGCTATATCATAACTGAATGGAGGTATGATCCTACTAATAATGCATTAGAAATCTTGGTGAAGGTGTTTCCTTTATTTTTATTTTTTGGCTTTCTAGGGATTTTTTGAGTGTTCCTATATTAGAAAATATAATAAAAACATAATTACAGTTTTCATCATGACTATAATTAATCAAAAAATGCTCACCCAGCATGTATTCATCTTCCATATCAAAAGTCTTTAGTTCATTGGGGAACTCTACCCACAGAGGCCTTGGGAAATAAAAAAATTCTTGTTTTAACATTATGGATGTCTTATTGCAATCAATCACTTATACTTTAAGGGTTTTTTGTTTTGTTTTGTTTTGTTTTGAGATGGATCTCGCTCTGTCACCCAAGCTAGAGTGCAGTGGTGCGATCTGGGCTCACTGCAGCCTCCACCTCCTGGGTTCAACCAATTCTCCTGCTTCAGCCTCCCGAGTGATTAGAGATCTTTTATTATAGATCTTCTAATCCCAGGTAGCTGGGATTACAGGCACACACCACATACCTGGCAAATTTTTGTATTTTTAGAGACGGAGTTTCACCATGTTGAACAGGCTAGTCTCGAACTCCTGACCTCAGGTGACCTGCCCACCTCAGCCTCCCAAAGTGCTGGGATTACAGGTGTGAGCCACCATGCCCAGCCTATTTTTAGTTTTATAACTGTTCAAAGGAAATGGGAAAGTGCCAAAGAGCCAAGATTCTTTTTCATATGATTCAAGCCTAAGCCTGGCAAAATAAGTTATTCTTCATGAGAAGATATTTATCAGTTAAATACTGAATGAATTTTGCTACAAAGCCACTTTCTGTTTCTTTGAAGTATCTCTATTCTGTCTCCTATCAAATATTCACACTTTAGTCATAAAGCAGTAGGGGATCTAGTTTTTGTCTTCTGTGTCCCCAACAGCCAGCACCCTGTTCACTATGGCTGCTCAATAGGCTGACTGAAACTTGATTAAACATGTAGATTTTCTTCATCTTTCTCTTGAAATCACTGTAATTACTGCATTCTTTAATCACTGAGATCTTCTATTACAGATTGGTTGCTGGGGTCCCTGAATGGATAAAGCTTTTTTACCTCATAACAGGTTGGGAAGCCACATGTGCATGGTAGAACAGAGAATACCAATATGGCAGGAGGCCATAGCGCTCTCTGATGGCTTCTCGGATGAGCCGGGTGTATTCCTCCCCAAAGAGCCAGGGCTCCCGCCGCTTGGTGTTCATAGTAGCATGGCCACGGAAGAAAGGCTGGTAGGCTCCAGCCTGGTACCAACGCACTAGCAGCTCTGTCTCTGGATTCCCAATGAACCCACCTATGTCAGCTGGAAGCAAAGGAAGGCCAAGTGAGGCAACCAAGCTTTGAATAAATGAGGCACACAGGGAAATTAAGCTTTGAAGACTGACAGGAGAAAAGCATGATACATGCACTCCAAATGACTGGATAAAGCTGTGGCCTCAAACAGGGGACCCTTTACTATGTAACTCAGCATGTTTGGGGATCTGACAACAGGCTTTTAGAATATTACTTTCTTGTTAAAAGGTCACAGGCTTTATTTTAATATCAATATTCCTGTATGTTCCCAAAACCAGATAACCCAGACACTGAAAAATGTATGCCTGATTAAATAACTCTGTGTGTGTGTGTGTGTGTGTGTGTGTTTTGGAGGGGGGCAGATGGCAACTGATTTCCTTTGGAAGCAACAGCTGAACTAAGATAAAAACAGAACTGAAGAGAAGCTGATAATCAGAATTAGATGTTCTGCAGAATAGAATTCCATGTTAAGCCATTGAGTGGGATACAATACATATTCCTTGTATTGTACATGGACCAATGCCATAAAACCACATGCATCAGAAGAATGATCTTAATTTGCCTCTACTCCTACCAGAAACAAGGAGCAGCTGGAACTGCAGCCAACCTGAGCACCTTCGATATTGAGATCTCTCATCTCCACAGAATTCTTAGGATGGAGGGAAGATAGCCTATTGGGAAATCTTATTTTAACTAAATTTATCTTTCTCAAGAGCATATCTTTTTGTTTTAGCACAGTTAAAATATGTCACAGAATTTTAAATCTGCTGAGTAGAATTTCTGTAAGACTGACTTTCCAATTTGCTAAATTCCTTGTAATTTTATTTTTCTTACTTTCAAGAAGAAAAGATAGTTGTCAGGAAGAGAAACTTAGTTATCAAGAGCATCTATGAAGGAAGAGATAAGAGGATGAGGGCATGAAGCACTCCGGATCCCTTTCTGACAACTTGATTTCATGTCCTCAACACAGACCAGACAGAAACAGCTCTGAGGCATGCCTTTCACTCAGCTTTCTAATCTGCTCCTCTTCACTTTCTCCCATTTTGTCTTTCCTACATTTATGTTTGCCCAAAACAGCTAATGAGAAGGAATTTGTGACCAGCTTTGATGAAAACACCCTCACTTTTAATTTTCTTACACTTCAAGCCTCAGGTAAGGACTCATCTTACCTCCACAAAAAGAGATCCCAGTAATGCTGAGAGTGAGTAACATTGGGATAGAAATTTTCAGGTAGCTCCATTCTGCTGTGTTGTCACCTGTCCACACGGCACCTTTGGTCACCAGTAACAATGTATTAAAATCACAAATCAACCATTGCCTTCAATTTCCTATGTAGATTCCTTATTTGTAAAAGATAACTTAATGAAAAGGAAAACAGATTTCTTGCCTTAAAATAAATAAATTCAAATTTTCTACAATGAAAAGTATTAATTTTCTAATGTGAAAAGTTATTAAAATCTAGAAAACAAGCATTCTAGGAAAATATTCTGAAATTGCACTTATTTTTGAAGTACAGTTTAGGTCTGATAGAGGAACCCTTTGAAAAATCAACTTTTAGATATAATTTGCATATAATACATGAGCTTTTTTCTTTTTATTTTTTCTTTTTTAAGACAGTCTTGTTCTCACTCGCCCAGGCTGGAGTACAGTGCTTCAATCTCAGTTCGCTGCAACCTCTGCCTCCCAGGGTTCAAGTGATTCTCCTGCCTCAGCCTCCTGAGTAGCTAGTATTACAGGTGTGCATCATGCTTGGCTAATTTTTGCATTTTAAAAGAATTTTTTTTTTTTTTAAAGATGGGGTTTCACCATGATGGTCAGGCTGGTCTTGAACCCTTGACCTTAGGTGATCTACTCACCTCGGCCTCCCAAAGTGCTAGGATTACAGGCGTGAGCCACCGCGCCTGGCCAATTTTTGCGTTTTTGTAGAGATGGGGTTTCACCATGTTGGTCAGGCTGGTCTCAAATTCCTAGGCTTAAGTGATCCACTTGCCTCGACTGACCAAAATACTGGAATAACAGGCATGAGCCACCATGCCCAGCCTCTTCATGTGCCTTCTTTTGTAAAGTGTCTATAGAAATCTTTTGCTCATTTAAAAAAAATAAATAAGTTCAGGGGTACATGTACAGGTTTGTTATGCAAATAAACTCATGTGTCACAAGAGTTTGTTGTATAGATTATTGTGTCATTTTGTCACCCTGATGTTAAGCCTAATACCTATTAGTTATTTTTCCTGATCCTCTTCCTCCTCTCACCCTCTATTCTCAGGTAGGCCCCAGTGTCTGTTGTTCCCTCTATGTGTTCACATGTTCTCATCATTGAGCTCCCACTTATAAGTGAGAAATGTGGTATTTGGTTTCCTGTTTGTTTTGCATTAGTTTGCTAAGGATAATGGCCTCCAGCTCCATCCATGTTCCTGCAAAGGGCATAATCTCATCCATACATATATATAAATACTTTTAATAAAAAAGAAAAAAGATCAAAGATCAGATCGCAGGCAAGATATCTCGTTTTTTTTTATGGCCAGATAAAAGTATTCCATGGTGTATATATACCACATTTTCTTTATCCAGTTTACCACTGATAGGCATTTAACTTGATTCCATATCTTTGCTATTGTGAATAGTGCTACAGTGAACAAACACATGCATGTGTCTTTATGACAGAACAATTTATACTCCTTTGGGTATATATCTAGTAATGGGATAGCTGGGTCAAATGGTAGTTCTGTTTTTAGTTCTTTGGGGAATCACCACACTGCTTTCCAAATGGTTGAACTAATTTACACTTCTACCAGCAGTGTATAAGCATTCTCCTTTCTCTGCAACCTTGCCAGCATCTGTTGTCTTTTGACTTTTTAATAATAGCCATTCTGACTGGTGTCAGAGAGTATTTCATTGTGGTTCTGATATGCTTTTCTCTATTGATCAGTGATATTGAGCTTTTTTTCATATGGTTGCTGGCCACATGTATGCCTTCTTTTGAAAAGTATCTTTTCATGTTCTTTGCCCACTTTTTAATGGGGCTATTTGTTTTTTTCTCATAAATTTGCTTAAGTTCCTTATAGATGCTGGATATTAGACCTTGGGCAGATGCATAGTTTGTAAATATTTTCTCCCATTCTGTAGGTTGTCTGTTTACTCTATTGATAGTTTCTTTTGCTGTGCAGAAGCTCTTTAATTAAATCCCATTTGTCAATTTTTGCTTTTGTTACAATTGTTTTTGGTGTCCTAGTCATGAAATCTTTGCCTAGTCTCACATCCAGAATGGGATTGCCTAGGTTGTCTTTCGGGGTTTTTGTAAAGTTTTGAGTTTTACATTTAAGTCTTTAATCCATCTTGAGTTAATTTTGTATCCCGCATACAAAGTGAGTCCAGTTTTAATCTTCTGCATATGGCTTGCCAGTTGTCCCAGCACCATTTATTGAATAGGGAGTCCTTTCCCCATTGCTTGTTTTTGTCAGCTGTGTCAAAGATCACATGGTTGTAGGTGTGCAACCTTATTTCTGGGCTCTCTATTCTGTTCCATTGGTCTACATGCCTGTTTTTGTGCCAGTACCATACTGTTTTAATTACTGCAGCCTCCTGCTTTGTTCTTTTTGCTTAGGATTGCCTTGGCTATTCAGGCTTTGTTTTTGTTTTTGGTTCTATATGAATTTTAAAATAGTTTTGTTCTAGTTCTGTGAAGAATGTCATTGGTAGTTTGACAGGAATAGCACTGAATCTATAAATCGCTTTGGGCAGCGTGGCCATTTTAACAAATATTGATTTTTCCTATCCATGAGCATGGAATGTTTTTCCATTTGTTTGTGTCATTTCTAATTTCTTTGAGAAGTGTTTTGTAGTTCTCATTTTAGAGATCTTTCTGTATTTCTGTATAGCTGTATTCTGGTTAGCTGTATTCTGAGGTATTTTATTCTTTTTGTGGCAATTGTGAATGGGTCTATGTTCCTGATTTGGCTCTAGGCTTGACTGTTGTTGGTGTATAGAAATGTTAATGATTTTTATGCATTGATTTTGTATCCTGAGACTTTGCTGAAGTTATTAGCTTAAGGAGCTTTTGGGCTGAGACTATGGTGTTTTCCAGATACAGAGTCATGTCATCTACAAATAGGAATAGTTTGATTTCCTCTCTTCCTATCTGGATGCCCTTTATTTCTTTCTTTTGCCTTGATTGCTCTGGCCAGGACTTCCAACACCATGTTGAATAGGAATGGTAAGAGAGGACATGCTTGTATTGTGCCGGTTTTCAAGGGGAATGCTTCCAGTTATTGCCCATTCAGTATGATGTGGGCTGTGAGTTTGTCAAATATGGCTCTAATTATTTTGAGGTATGTTCCTTCAATACCTACTTTGTTGAGAGTTTTTAACATGAAGGGATGAGATGAATTTTATTGACAGCTTTTTCTGCATCTATTGAGATGATCATGTGGTTTTTGTCTTTAGTTCTGTTTAGGTGATGGATCACATTTATTGACTTGGGTATGTTAAACCAACCTTGCATTCCAGGGATAAAGCCTTCTTGATTATGGTGGATAAGCTTTTTGATGTGCTGCTGAATTCAGTCTGCCAGTATTTTGTTGAGGATTTTTGCATCAATATTCATCCAGGATATTGGCTTGAAATTTTCTCTTTTTTTGTGTCACTGTCAGGTTTTGGCATCAGGATGATACTGGCATCATAGAGTGAGTTAGGAGAAGTCCCTCCTCCTCAGTTTTTTGAAATAGTGCCTGTAGAAATGCTATCAACTATCCTTTGTACATCTGATAGAATCTGGCTGTGAATCTGTCTGGGGTCTTTTTAACTGGTAGGCTATTTACTACTGATTCAATTTTGGAGCTTGTTATCTGTCTTGTCAGGGATTCAATTTCTTCTTGGTTCAGTCTTAGGAGGATGTATATATCCAGGAATTTATCCATTTCTCTTGGATTATCTCCTTCGTAATTTCTAATTGTGTTTATTTGCATCTCCTCTCTTTTCTTCTTTATTATCTAGCTAGAAGTTTATCTGTTTTGTTAATTTTCTTTTTCAGAAAACCAACTCTTAAAGTAGGTTGTTTTTAAAGTAGGTTGTCTCTCTTATTATTATTGAGTTGTAAAAGTTCTTTATATATTCTACACACAAGTATTTTTAACAGATATGTATGTATATTTCAAATATTTTTTCCTCAGTCTGTGACTTGCCATTTCATTTTCTTACCAATGTCTTTGAAAGGGCAGACATTTTTAAATTCTGATGACGTCTAACTTGTCATTTTTTTTCTTTAATGACTCCTGCTTTTTGTGTTCTATCTAAAAAAAATCTTTGTATATTTCAAAGCCATAAAGATTTTCTCCTGGCCAGGTACAGTGGCTCACACCTGTAATCCAAGCACTTTGGAGGCCCAGGCAGGTGGATCACCTGAGGTTGGGAGTTCAAGACCAGCCTGACCAATGTGGTGAAAACCTGTATTAAAAATATAAAAGTTAGCCAGGCATGGTGGTGGGCACCTGTAATCCAGCTACTCAGGAGGCTGAGGCAAAAGAATTGCTTCAACCTGGGAGGTGGAGGCTGCAGTGAGCCAAGATGGCGCCACTGAATTCCAGCCTGGATAACAGAGCAAGATTCCAACTCAAGAAGAAAAAAAAAGATTTTATTCTATGTTTTTTTCCAGACATTTAATTGCTTATATTTTTAGCTTTTAAAATGAGTTAATTTTTGAGTTTAATTTTGAATATGGTATGAGGTAGGGGTGTAGTTTCATTTTTTCCCTACACAGATATCCAGTTGTTTCACAACTATTTACTGAAAAAAAAATTATAATTTCTCCATTAAATTGCCTTGAAAACTTTGTTGCAAAGCAGTTAATCACATATGTGTTAGATACACTGGATTTTCTACTCTATTCCATTGATCTGTATACCTACTTCCTCCCACCTCCACTACCTCCTGCTCCCCAAAGAAAACCCTGTAAAATTTGAGAGAAGAGTTACAGTCCATATAGGGGAGACATAAAAACAGTAGCAATAACAATAATTAACATTTATTGAACCCATACTGAACCAGGTGTTATGCTGAATAGTTTGCTGGTATTATCCTACTTAATCACAACAATCCTATCAGATAAACACTATTATAAACTCCATTTTACAGATGAGGGAAGTATAGCAAGAAGTGGATATATAATCTACCCAGAGTTACACAGTTATTAAGTGGTAGAGTCAGGATTTGAGCCCAGGCACTCTGACGAAGACAGTGTTCTTATTCTTGTTTACTGTATAGTTGCTGAGGGTTTGTGACGAGAGATTATATCTCACCAAAGACAGCCATAAAAGGGAAAATCTTATTTTACTAAATATATACCACTCCTGGCCAGGTGCAGTGGCTCATGCCTGTAATCCTAGCACTTTGGGAGGCTGAGGGGGGTGGATCATGAGTTCAGGAGATCAAGACCATCCTGGCCAACATGGTGAAACTCCGTCTCTACTAAAAATACAAAAAAATTAGCTGGGTATGGTGGGGCATGCCTGTAGTCCCAGCTACTCAGGAGGCTGAGGCAGGAGAATTGCTTGAACCCAGGAGGCAGAGATTGCAGTAAGCCGAGATCGCTCCACTGCACTACAGCCTGGATAACAGTGTGAGACTCCGTCTCAAAAAAATATATATATATGTATATATACACATACACATATACTACTCCTGAAGCATTTTTGTCTATCTTCTACCAAAATAATTTTGGTAGCTATTTTTGCTTTAATCTTTCATAGAAATTTTAGGATGCCCTATGACCAAAGAAAAAAAATTCTTTTTTTTTTTTTTTTTTTTGAGACATTCTTTCACTCTATGGCCCAGGCTGGAGTGCAGTGGTATAATCTTGGCTCACTGAAATTTCCGTCTCCCAGGTTCAAGCAATTCTCCTGCATCAGCCTCCTGAGTAGCTGAAACTACAGGAACATGCCACTATGCCTGGCTTATTTTTGTATTTTTAGCAGAGATGAGGTTTTACCATGTTGCCCAGGCTGGTCTTGAACTCCTAATCTTGAGTAAACTGCCCACCTGCCTCGGCTTCCCAAAGTGCTGGGATTATAGGCATGAACCACTGCTCCCGGCCACCAAAAAAAACAAAACAAAAACGAAAACAAAAACATATCTATATCTATATATCTATATATATTCTTTCTTTCTTTCTTTTTTTTTTTTTGATACGAAGTTTCACTCTTTTTGCCCAGGCTGAAGTGCAATGGCACAATCTTGGCTCACTGCAACCTCTGACTCACGGGTTCAAGTGATTTCCAGCCTCAGTCTCCCTAGTAGCTGGGTTACAGGTGCGCGCTACCATGCCCGGGTTTTTTTTTTTTTTTTTTTTTTTTGGTATTTTTAGTAGAAATGGGTTTCACCATGTTGATCAGGCTGTTCTTGAACTCCTGATCTTAGGTGATCCACCTGCCTCGGCCTTCCAAACTGCTGAGATTACAGGTGTGAGCCACCAAGCCTGTTTCAAAAAAAATACTTTCGAGGGATTGCTCTTTTAAAAAACTACTCTAATTTTTCTTTGCCTTCAAGTGAGAAGTATACATATCTACATAATAATTTTGAAACCCTTATGAAGACATTCTCATCAAGAAACAAAGCTCACATTAACATGCAGAATTTTCATGTCTCATACTGTGGTTTGGTCAGAAGCTCTCTATGGCTATTGGTCATAGCATATGAGTTAACAAAGTAGTGTTTCCTATAATGTTTTACTACACAGTGAAGCAAAGCTGATAGTTTCACACGGAGTACTACACGTTAAGCAGTGGACCAACATAAGAGATCAACAATAACCTAATATTCAAATATTCTGTTATTTTTTTTAAATGTTGATGGTAAATGTTTTAATTAAAAATACTTTTTTGTGATTAAAAACGATACTTGTAGACATTTTGTAAAATAAAGATAAGTAAAAGAATAAAATGAAAATCACTCATAATCACCAAGGTATTGTATTTTCTTATATTTAACTGTCTGCCTATCTATCTACCTACTTACTGATTTAAATTACTATCTTACATTTATTTTTTATACAACTGAGATAATAAGAAATAAGACTTGATGTCCGACAGATCAGTAAGATGACTACAGTTAGCCTTAATTGATTGTGCAATTCAGAAAACCTAAGAGAATTAATTTAAATGTTCCTACCATAAAGAAAATATACATATTTAAGGTGACAGATATCCCAATTACTCTGATTATATGAATATATCAAATTATCACATATACCCTAAAAATATGTGCCTCTAATACATATCAATAAAAAATATAGAATAATACTATAAACAGGCATTCCTTTTTTATTTATCATGACATCACATACATTTTCTCATGCAATTAAAACTACTATTTAAAATAGCCTAATGAAAAGAAAAAAGAAAAAAATTTTAAAAACATAAACAGCCTCACGATAATCTATCATATTACTATACCATACTTTTGTAACTATACCCTTACTGTTATATATTTAGATTTTCTTTCTTACTTTTGTTTCAAGGACTACTGCTGTGTTGAATATCTCTGTACATGAATCTTTGCCTGAGATTGTAATGTTCTGGCCTTTTCCAGAATTCCACAGGGCCTGGTTTTCAGGGTTGGAATGGGAGGCTTAATAATGTCCACAGTATGTTAAGGGCTCTCAGTTGTTTATGCAAGGCCAGGGGACTTAAAATAGCCTTCCTGCCACAGGGTGATGAAGTTGAACCAGGTCCGCGTTAGCTGGTAAAGTGCATCCAGTTATAGATGACCCTGACCACACACAACAGCCAGGTCTATTTTAAGCCATATTGCTAAGTGGAACAGGTGGTTAATAGAATATGCTAGAGGTGTTATCTCCTTGGATTTGATAAATCAAAGAGATAGGATCAAAGATGACTATCCCAGTAAACTGAATACTTTGAAGTCACTCTCCCAACAACTAAGTGGCCATTTCTTTAGTGGGAAACAAGTATCAAATGACTAAAATTTGTTTATTCTGTCTTATAGGACAAAATGCATACTTCAAGGCACACCATGGTCTACAATCAAATGCCCGGCCAATGGCTATTGAAAAGGAAGGCATCAGCTGAGTGTGGTGGCTCACACCTGTAATCCCAACACTTTGGGAGGCTGAGGCAGGCAGACTGCTTGACTGCAAGAGTTTGAGACCAGCCTGGGCAACATGGTGAAACCCTGTCTCTACCAAAAAATACATATACATATACATATATAAATTAGCTGGGCATGGTGTTGTGTACCTGTAATCCCAGCTACTCATGAGGCACAGGTGGGAGGAGTGCTTGAGCCCAGGTGGTTGATGCTGCAGTGAGCCATGACTGCACCACTGCACTCCAGCCTGGGCAACAAAGTGAGACTGTCTCAGACAAACAAATGAAAAAAAAAAAAAAAAAAAAGAATGAAAATGAAGGCATCAACACAGAAACATTACATTCTATAAAAGGTAAAAAAACCCAAGTTGCTAACATGTTTTTAAGTCTAATATGAGCCATTCCTTACCATACTTTTGTGATCCAGCAAAGAAAGAACGTGTAAGAACAAAGGGTCTCTCCTTCCCTTTAGATCGTTGTATCAGTCCTTCTGCAGTAGCCATTTGCTGTAACACCAAACAAGACAAATTTCAAAGAGATGATTGGATTTGTACAGACATCCCCAATAAGCTATCTAAAATACAAAAAGCAAACAGCAGGCAGGAGTGTGAAATGGAAAATATTAAAATAAATCCATAAAATAGTTTTTGTAGCATAATGAGACTACTCCAAATTCTCCTATTAAAAGAATGGAAAATTTTCTTTGGTTAACAATAGCAATGAAACAATAATAAACAATCAGCTAGCATTTCTTTAGTGCTCACTATTGCTAGGCACTTAATACAGTTTTCTCATATAGTCTACATAACAACCTCTGAGACAGATGGTTTTCACTGGTAGGAAAAACTGAGATTCAGAGAGGTTAAATGACTGGTCCTGAACTAAATAAGAAAGTTCACTAACTAAAGCAGTCTATAGTTATTGCAACAGGCTGTTAAAGATACAAACACATTACTATCTGAAAACTGTGCTTATATTTAGCCAGCAGCTCCCATTGGAAAATACCAATAGGCAAGAGGGCCACAGGAATATGGTCACAATTTGAAAATAACGAAGAACCATGCATATATATGACAGAAAGTGTCTGCCAAGTCTTTGGGATGCAGTTGGTAAGTGAAAGGTAATTTTATCAACTTTATTGAGAATACTAAGTACTTAAGGAAGGCTTTACATTTTTAAAGTATACGTATTGAAATTATATGTCTGTGCTCTAAATCTTGCTCCTCCAGTGTGACTATAAGACTTGCTGTATTTAGATATTTGTGAAATTTTAAAACACTTGTTTTAATTACGTTCATTCACATATTTATACACTGCTTGCATCAATAAAAGTTTGAGCCAGTGAGTGCCACTTATTAATGGCTACTATCAAGGCAGTGGTTTTTATGTTATAAATTTCATAATATTTAAAAGTTCATCCAGTTCATCATGAAAAGAAAAAAAAGCAAAGGGAGAAATAATAAAAAGTCTTGTATTGGCTACTACCTAAGACTCATTGCAGTCGTCAGAAAAGACATACAAAGAGAAATGAACAGTAGAGCACAGCTATGATTTTACAAAGCAAATGACTTTAAGCCAAAAGGCAGGTCACATGAGCCCAGTTCTTTCTGGATGTCTTACGTGATAAAAACCGTAGATGTTGTGGAGTTCTCTGTGCTCCCAATTGCCATGATGAATGGCATTCTTCTGCATGGTTTGTTCTGGCCCTCTAAAGACAGAGGGCTCATTCATGTCATTCCAAAGGAAGAGGATGTCCGTAGATCCCTAGGAAGTAAACCTTGGTCATAATGACACTCCTACATTGATGATATCTATATAATAGCTGTCACCATTCCACTTTCCTACCTCATTTTAAAAATTATGTTTATTATCTATGCTCTGTCCTCTGCTTCACTGCTAGAGTATAAGTTCCACAAGGCATGACATTTTGTCTGTTTTGTTCATTAATAAATCCCAAACATCTAGGATAGAAAAGCACCTGGTCCATAGAAAGATCTCAACAAATATTTGCTGATGAATAAAAAATGCTGCCCTATGTTGTCTGTGAAATATATATTGCCTGGCAAGTTCATTCCAAGACCTCCCAGCAGGACCCCTATGGGAAAGGTTTCTCATACTTAGGCTCTTTCTCATGCATCATATGCCACGACTCTTAACTAAGGGCAACTATAGCTGAACATGACAAGATTCTATTTTCTCTCTAATACTTTGAAAGACTTGACAGCCAATATACCTGCTTGTTAACATGATCTATAGTTTGTATTCTACACAGAATTGTTCAATTTAAGAGTGGGAAGGGACAGTTGAGTCATCTAGTTAACACGGCATTGCAGAATCCCTGGTCTTTTCTAGAATCCCTGATCTTTCGGCATTTGACTGAATAGCTAAAAAGACAGGGAGTCCCTCAGGCAGTTCATTCCACTATTTTCCAGAAGTCCTGCTCCTTGTAACACTCCCCTCACAGAGCCTACCTATCTTGCCTTCTGGGACTCCATGGAATACATCTGTCACCTTGCCCACATGAAAGTCTTTCAAATGCCTGGAGGGGGCTTACTTGTCTTCTTTTGACTCTTTCTTCTCAATTTCTAAAATGTACACTTCTATGAACAAGGGTGTATTATTTCCAAATATTTAACTACCTTATCTTTCCGTTAGTATCATCTAACGCAGGGATTGGGAAACATTTTTGGTAAAGGTCCAGATACTAAATATTTTCAACTTTGCAGGCCATGAGGTCTTTTTCCATTATTCAGCTCTGCCATAGTAATACAAAAGCAGCCACAAATAACAGGGAAATGAACAGCCATGGCCAGATTTGGCCCAAGGCCCTGTGCTAAGTTGCTTACTAGTGCCCTAATACTTGATGCCCAGAAACTAAAGTTTAGTGTTTAAAAGCTGGGCTTGGGAGACAAACAGATCTGATTTCAAATTTTGGTTCCATCATTAACTAGATGCGTGATCTTGGCAAGTTTTTAAACTTTTCTGTCTCAATTTCTTAATCTATGAGGTTAGATTTTTAGTTATAGTTCCAATTTCAGAGGGTTATTATAAAGACAAATGGTTTGATGCACATAAAGTCCTCAGCACAGTGCTTGTAACGTAGCAAGTATTCAACTTGCATTAGATATCATCATCATCATCACTGCCATCATCAATATTACCATAATTGGTTGAAAACAGTTCTCCAGATATGGCCTCTCCAGTTTTCCCTGTGATTCTTATCAGCTTGTTTAAAAATTGTACTTCACTTTTAATGACAAATATGTTGTAAGATATTTTCACATGTATCATCGTATTTAAATAACAGTTATGGAATACAATTTTATATAAAAATTTATATAGCAATTTGAAAATATAATAAACCTCTGCTATAAAGTACTTTGATATATCATACAGTCTATTATAATAGAGGTCAAATCACAGCTTTTGTGCATTTGGTAATGCATATGGCACCCCTCCCAGCACCCCAAGAGTCTGCAATATGGTGGCCATACTTTCCTTTTAATACAAGCATTATATATCAAAGCTACTGAATGAAATTGAATGGTTCTATTCAATCACTTTTTCTGCTTCTTTCACTCTTTCAAGTAACTAGAAAAGAGCAAAGGAATAAAAACCAACCTGATACACAGGGAAAGCAAAAAGACTTGAATACCACCCTCTGACCTTGGGATTGGTGAAATCCAGGTAAGAGGAGAGACCTGTGGAGGCAGAACAATAGGCAGCCCGTTAGGAACAGTGGCCCTCACAGTAAGATGCGTTATAAAGTAGATATCAGATGTGAGAGCTAGGAAATAGGCACCTTACATAAACATAAAAGATGGTGACAGAGGAGTGGTCTGTTGAGAGGTGCATAAAGGCAATGCTGGGCTCCAGTGACAATCACCAGACTTTTCAACACCAGAGGCCCAGGGAAATGTACAAGCATCATGATGGAGCCTGTCCCTCACTGATGGCCTAAGATAGCCCAAGTAAGGATGGCAAATATTCTGCAGTAATCTCTTGATTCTTTTCTTTTTTTTTTAAAGATGGGGTTTCACCATGACAGCCAGGCTGGTCTTGAACTCCTTACCTCAGGTGATCCACCCGCCTCGGCCTCCCAAAGTGCTAGGATTACAGGCATGAGCCACCACGCCCGGCCGATCTCTTGATTCTTAAAGAGAACAGAGAAGTGTGTTCAAGTGGTGTAAGGGAAAAAAAGAAAGGCACAGAGTTTCTCTACAGTACATGGATTTATAATAGAGTGCTATGATATGTGGTGATTTTCGTTTTGTCCTTGGGGACTTTCTACCAAGGCTTTAAATTAATAATTTTTAATAACTTTTGAAATAAAGAATCCATAGTCACCGGGGTGGCTGAGGTCACTCATGTAAGGCTGAGAAGTCAAAACTATGAGTTAAAAGGGTGAAGAGCAATCACAGGGAGAGAGCTTGCAGGATCCCCTTTTTTTCTTTCTCCTTCCTCCTCCTCTTTTCTCATTCCCCAAATTTTTATCTCTATTTGGTTACAAAAAAAGCATGTCACTGAGGTTTGGTTATTTTTCATTCACTCATTCAATTATTGATAAATACATAAAATTGCAGTACCAGGTGTTATGAAAGATGCAAAAGAAGGCAATACTATCTCTTCCTTAAATTAGATGCTTAAAATATAGCTAGAGGAGTAAGAGACATCTACAAGGGAGCAGGTAGATGATCATGTACCCTTCTTAATCGGTATTGAACAAGCAGAAATAATAAGTGTATAAAGTGATTTCATACCAGGCCAGCACACCCCTTCAAAGTCTTCCCCTTCCTGATTCCTCACAAAGAAGCCCTGATCTTTGGCCTTCACATATACTGAGTAGTCAGGATCAATCTTGATGTGGGGATCACTGATGACCACAAGCTGTCAGGACATAAAGATTTAGAGGTCTCATAAGTTTTATGTAAGACAAGTATTCAATTATATGTTTTCACCACAGTTTGGGGGTTCAATTTTTACAAATAACTACAACTAGTATTGAAATATTTCAGACACAAAAATAAAAACAAAAAAGAGAAATATTTCAGATACCAGTAAAACCCTATAACCCTTCATGTGCTTATGAGATGTTCAATTAATATCAAAACCAAGCCAATGTTGGTCAGGTGCAGGAGCTCACACCTGTAGTCCCAGCACATTGGGAGGCCAAGGTAGGATGATTGCTTAAGGCCAGGAGTTTGAGACCAGCCTGGGCAACATAGTGGAACCTCACCTCTATAAAAAAAAATTTAAAAATTAGCTGGGTGTGGTGGTATCCACCTGTGGATCCAGCTACTCAGGAGGCTAAGGTGGGAGGATTGTTTGAGCCAGGGAGGTCACTGCTGTGGTGAGCCGTGATCATGTCACTGCAGTCTAACCTGGGTGACAGAGCAAGACCCCATCTCTAAAAAAGAAAAAAACAAAAACAAAAACAAAACAGGCCAATGCTCTTTAAAAATTATTGCTGCCTAACCAATACATGTTCTTTAAATAGCACACTGATTAAGTCTCTATCGATCCATGATGCTGGGTACTGGATATTATACATAGAGAACTAAGTTGGCAGGGTACCTGCTCCCTGGACATTTAGATGCTTAGATAACAGTGATATAAATAAACATTAACGAAACCAAGAGAATAACACATTAAAATCAAACAAAGTCCCCAAGCCCAGTGGTGGAGGCATATTAGGAAGGAGATTTGAGAAAAGCTATAAGCCACAGCATTGTAACTCTAGCATCTCTCCCGGCCTTTCTAAAGTCATACATACATAAATATTCATACTTCCACCAGTCTAGGCCCTCAAAAACACTTTATTTGGCTACAGCACCATCTAATCGCCCTTCCTCATCTCTATTCTGATCTGTCCTCAATGCTAAAGTTTAATTCTTCATTGCTCAAAAATTTTCTTAAATTTTTATTTGTTTGAGACAGTCTCACTCTGTCGCCCAGGCTGGAGTGTAGTGGTGCGATCTCAGATCACTGCAACCTCTGCCTCCCGGGTTCAAGTGTTTCTCCTGCCTCAGCCTCCTGCGTAGCAGGGATCATAGGTGCCCACCACCATGCCCAGCTAATTTTTTTTTGTATTTTTAGTGGAGACGGGGTTTCACCACGTTGGCCAGGCTGAGTTTGAACACCTGACCTCAGGTGATCCCCCCGCCCTGGCCTCCCAAAGTGCTGGGATTACAGGCATGAGCCACCATGCCCAGCCTAAAATTTTAAACTGTGGTGAAATACACATGACAAAAAATTTACCATCTTAACCATTTTTAAGTGTGGAGTTTAGTACTGTTAAGTATGTACATTCACAATATTGTACTCAATCTCCAGTACTCTCTCATGTTGCAAAACTAAAACTAAACCTCTATACCCATTAAATAATGATGTCTCATTCCCTCCTCCTAGCCCCAGCAAACACTATTCTATAATACTTTCTGTCTTTATGAGTCTAACTACTCTAATTACTTTAAATTAGTGGAATCATACAGTGTTTGTCTTTTTGCAACAGGCTTATTTCACTTAGAATATATCATCAAGGTTCATCCATGCTGTAGTATCTATTAGAATTTCCTTCCCTTTAAAGCCTGAATAACATTCTGTTGAATGTATACACCATATTTTGTTTACATATTAATTTTTTAACAGAGTTGCAACCCAAGCAACTTGGGTTGCTTTGACCTTTTGGCTACTGTGACTAATGCTGCTATAAACATGGGTGTATAAATATCTGTTTGGGTTCCTGCTTCCAATTCCTTTGGGTATATTAAGTGGAACTGCTGGATCATATAGTAATTCCATTTAAAAATTTTTGAGGAACTGTCATATTGTTTTCCATAACAGCTACACCATTTTGCCTTCCTATCAACAGTACACAAGGATTGCAATTTCTCTACATCCTTGCCAACACCTGTGTGTGTTTTTTTTTTTTAAATAGCCATCATCTTAATGATGTAAAATGGTATTTCATTGTGGTCTCCATTTGCATTTTCCTAATGATTACTGGCATTGAGCATCTTTTCTTGTGCTCGTTGGCTATTTGTATATCTTATTTGGAGAGACATCTATTCAAGTTCTTTGCCCATTCTGTTTTTTTTGTTGCTAAGTTGTGGGAGTTTATCATGTATTCTGGATTATTAACCCCTAATTCAAAAACTTGTAATGTCTTCAAATGTATACAAAGCAGATTACAAAAGGGTTCCAGCCTTTCTGGTCAGATCCTCCACTACTAGAACCCGCATATGCCTTACTCACCTGTCAAACTTGCCTGTATAGTGCTTTCCAAACACCCCTAATGCTCCTTCCTCTGGCTGCACTGCCCTCCTCTCTCTCCCAGCTTACCCATTAGTTAGGGATATTCTTTAGGGCTCATCTAAAATGCATTTCTAGGCCAGGCATGGAGGCTCACGCCTGTAACTCCAGCACTTTGGAGGGCTGAGTTGGATGGATCGCTTGAGGTCAGGAGTTCATCCCTAATTTGAAAATCCAACAGGATGAAACCCTATCTCTACTAAAAATATAAAAATTAGCTGGGTATGGTGATGCATGCCTGTAATTCTAGCTACTCAGGAGGCTGAAGCAGGAGAACTGTATGAACCCATGAGGCAGAGGATGCAGTGAGCCGAGATTGCACTACAGCACTCCAGCCTGGGCGAAAGAGTGAGACTCCACCTTGGAAAAAACAAATAAATAAATAAAATAAAATGCACCTCTGGAACCAAGCCCTGCTTAAGTCTTGAGGATATGATCTTCTCTTTCTTGGCCTGTCCCATACCCTGACCTTTCTTTGGCTCTCATGTTACTTCCCTGTATTGTGGTTGGATACTTGTCTTTTCCTCAGTCACTGTAAGACCACATCTTTTCATTATTGCTATTACCACCACTAACACTCCCGGAACTGGAAAGCAGCATTATGCATGTTCCAGTGGCTTCTCTGCCTCCCCATTTTCTATTTCTGTTCTTTTCTTGGCCAGATTGACAGGTGGAGTCCATCAGGGAAGTATGCAGGAAAAATAGTGTAATAAAGAATTTGATACCATATTTGATATTTGACTGTTAAGGGTTTTCAAGCCCTGCCACTCCCCACTTACCTTTCTGGCCATATCTGGACAAGCTGACAAAGAAAGCTCTAGCGCTCCCTCTTTTGGTGCCAGCCAGGGGTTCAAACTATCTAAGCCTCAGCCTGTGTGCAAGAGCCCTTGCCCTGTCCCCACCCGCTAACCACCATAAAAACTGAGCTGATCTCCTTTCCCAGTTCTCTCAATCAATTTTCAAACCAGCTTGGGAGCCAGCCCTGTTCTCCCCAGAAAGCCTCATTATATGAATAATAAACTTTTTAATATACTCTTGGTGCATGTGTGGTGTCAAGACACGGAAACCAAATTTTGAGTGAGGGGGATCATACTAATACCAGGCGGCCACAACAAACGGAACTGAAAATGCTAGACCGCTTCCTCATTATAGGGACCTAGATAACTAAGCCAGGAATGGATGGAGTCACCGCCTTTTCACCATTCATTTTCTCTCTTAACACAGTGACAGTTACATTTGAATCTACTATTTTCATAGCCATTTTAAAAAAAATCAGATGTTTCTCCACCATTGATATGCCAAGGCAAGTTTAAAACATTTCTCAAAGCTCTGTAATTAAAAGGTTCAGAAATGTTGGCTTATTTTACCTTACGCTTTTTGCTCCTGAGCAGCTCTTGCATCTTCTTGGGGTTTGGGAATCTTTTTTGGTCCCAGGTGAAGTACCTCTTGCCCTCAGTGTGCTCTATGTCCAGCCACATGGCATCATAAGGAATGTCATGCTCATCAAACCCTGCATCCACTGCTTTTACATCCTGCTCATCTTCATAATTCCAGCGGCACTGGTGGTAACCCAAAGAGAAAAGAGGGGGCATGGCTTGTGTGCCTAAAAAAAGAAGATGACAATTGAGTCAACTGCCACCACAATGATCATTATTCATTTGATAAATATTTCCTGAATGTCTACAGAGTATTCAGTACTGAGTTCATGCTTAGAATATCAAGGAGAAGGCCGGGCGCGGTGGCTCAAGCCTGTAATCCCAGTACTTTGGGAGGCCGAGGCGGGTGGATCACGAGGTCAAGAGATCGAGACCATCCTGGTCAACACGGTGAAACCCCGTCTCTACTAAAAATACAAAAAATTAGCTGGGCATGGTGGTGCGTGTCTGTAATCCCAGCTACTCAGGAGGCTGAGGCAGGAGAATTGCCTGAACCCGGGAGGCGGAGGTTGCGGTGAGCCGAGATTGCGCCATTGCACTCCAGCCTGGGTAACATGAGTGAAACTCTGTCTCAAAAAAAAAAAAAAAAAAAAAAAAAAAAAAGAATATCAAGGAGAAGAAAGCATAGTCCTTGCCTTGAAGGAAGTGACAACCTGGCTAATGAGGCAGGAGTGTAAATAAACTGTCTTGTCCTGAGGTATAACTTCCAGGTTAACTTGTCAGTCTAGTGCTACCAGAACACAGAGAGGTTAATAAATTCTGCCTGCGGTGAAGTATGGGAACTTGAAAGGCTTCAAAGAGGAGAAAACACCTGGTTTGGAACTTGTAGACTAAGTAGGAATATACTAGACAGGGAGAATAGATAGAGCATTCTGGACACAAGGAATAGAAAAAACACAGGCAGAGAAGTACATGACAGGCTTAGAGAAAAACAAATATTCCAGGGTATCACAGTGTGAGAGAGACCAGTAGAAGATGACAATGTATAGGGTTAGATTGTCAAGGGCCCTGTAAATTGACGTTAGGAATTCTGAATCTTATCTTACGAGAAGTCATCAAAAGTTTGGCAAGATTTAATCTTAGTAGACCTATATTTTAGAAAAATTAAGTCAGGGTGCAGCATTAGGACTCAGCTGAAGGGAAAGAGACTGAACTTGGGAAAAAGTTTCAGTAAATTATTATCAAAATGTTTACTGATAACATGAAGGACTTCTGGTTAACCACTTGCATGTGTCTCCTTCCCCTCCTAAATTCACACTAAAATCTGGGTAAAGAAAAGAAAAAAATGAAGAAAGCCATAAAAACAAAGATAATGAGAATGGAATAATCTCACCAAAAATTTGGCAAGTGGTAGGCAGGGGAGGGGTGGTAACTGTTGAGCAAAGTCAGGAAAGCTCTCTCCAGAGTGCTATTGAGGAAGATACTGATGAAGAGCTCACCCCACTCCCAAACACTAGCAGACATGCCCACCCTCAAAACTAGAGTGGAAGACTCCCCCAGGCACACAGAGCCACCATGAAATATGAATGGAGGCCAGGTGTGGTGGCTGTAATCCCAGCAATTTGGGAGGCCAGGGCGGGTGGATCACTTGAAGTCAGGAGTTTGAGACCAGCCTGGCCAACATGGTGAAACCCTGTCTCTACTAAAAATACAAAATTTATGCAGGTGTGGTGGTGGGCAACTGTAATCCCAGCTATTTGGGAAGCTAAGGCAGAAGAATCGCTTGAACCCAGAAGGCAGAGGTTGCAGTGAGCTGAGATAGCACCACTGCACTCCAGCCTGGGCAAAAGAGTGAGACTCCAGCTCAAAGCCCACATTTGAGCAAAGTCTCCAAACTCAGAGACAGCAACCCAAATAAAGAAACAGAATAAAAGGATCTCTGAGAAAACAGGGGCAATACAAGGAACCAAAGTAAATATCAAAACATTATTACCAGTTATCTCTAGGGAGATGAAAAAAGATATTGTACTTAATACTAGGATAGCATAAAACAAGTGTAGGTTTAGTATCCCTAATTTGAAAAGCCAAAATCTGAAATGCTCTAAAATCTGAAACTTTTTTTTTTTTAAGATGGAGTCTCACTCTGTCACCCAGGCTGGAGTGCAGTGTCACAATCTTGGCTCACTGCAAACTCCGCCTATAGGTTCAAGTAATTTTCCTGCCTTGGCCTCCTGAGTAGCTGGGACTACAGGCATATGCCACTAGGCCCAGCTAATTTTTGTATTTTCAGTAGAGATGGGGTTTCACCACGTTGGCCAGGCTGGTCTCGAACTCATGACCTTAGGTGATTTGTCTACCTCCCAAAATGCTGAGACTACAGGTGTGAGCCACCACACCTGGCCTCTAAAATCTGGAACTTTTTGACACTCAAAAGGAAATCCTGATTGAAGCATTTTGGGTTTTGGATTTTCAGATTAGATACACTCAGCCAGTAAGTTTCATGAAAATATTCAAACATCAAAATAACCCAAAATCTGACACACTCTAGAGTCTCAGGCATGGAATACTCAACCTGTATATAATTTATGAAACAATACGTGCTATTTAATGCAGTGTGCTATTTTGAATTCCTCAGCAAGTTTTATAAGTGGGGTAAAAATACTTAGAAGATCTCAGTGCTTTGGAAGGCTGAAGCAGGAGGATGATTTGAGACTAGGAGTTCAAGACTAACCTGGGTAACATGGCAAGACCGCATCTCAACAAAATATTTAAAATAAACAGATAAAGAGAATTAGCTGGGCATGTGGCACATGACCACAGTCCCAGCTACTCAGGAGGCTGAAGCAGGAGGATCGTTTGAGCTCAGGAGTTACAGGCTGCACTGAGCCATGATCACGCCAGGCTGGGCAACAGAGTGAGACCCTGTCTCTTAAAAACAAAAAACAAAAAACTTAGAGGGTCATCGGACTTGAAATTATACACAGCATTATTGATCATGAGTCTGTCTGAGTGAAACAGGTTAAATAAATAATGTTACCAGCAAATTTGTTACTTGAAAAAAATAGGATGTACACATTTCATGATAATAAATGTTTTGCCACTGCTTTGCATAAAATGAAAACAAAAACCAAGGAACCATCAGAGGATAGAAAAGAGCTCTAAGAAAGCAGAAACATGATAGCCATAGATGAAAGGCCTAGAAAATACAATTGAGAATATTGCTCAAAAAGCAGACAAAAAAGGAAAAGAAGATTATAAAATCCGTAGAGCAGAAAGAGGAAAAGGAAGGAAAAAATTAATCTAAGGAATAATTCAAGACAGTTTCTCAGAACTGAAGGACACAATTTCTCAAAACTGAAGGACACAATTGAAGGGGTCCATATCTAATACCCAGAACAATAATTATTTTAAAAGACCTACAGCCAGGTGTGGAGGCTCACATCTGTAATCCTAGCACTTTGGGAGGCTGAGGTGGGAAGATCCCTTGAGCCCAGGATTTCAAGACCAGCCTGAGTAACCTAGTGATACCCTGCCTATACAAACAATGAAAAAATTAGCTGGGCATGGTGGCACATGCCTGTAAGTCCCATCAACTCAGGATTCTGAGGTCTGATGATCGCTTGAACCCAGGAATTCGAGGCTGTAGTAAACCATGATCACACTGATACACTCCAATCTAGGCACAGAGGGAAACCCTGATTCAAACAAACAAACAAAAGATCTCCATCAAGAGGTTTTATTATAAAATTTCAGAATATTGGAAATATGGAATGTTAGCAACAGAGAAGGTATTTCAGAGAGAAAAGACAGATTATATACAGAGGAACAAAGAAATAGAATTAAGAATGGTTTTGGAGCAAGAAAGTAGAAGACAATAACATAAATTCTGAGAGAAAGAATATTCAGTCTTGCCAGGCAAATTATCAATCAAGGTAAAGGTAGGAAAAAAGATGGTTTCACACTTGCAAGGAGGCAAAAAGAGTACCTCCAATGCAAACTTTCTTAGGAAACTACCAGAAGATGCTACAAATAAACAAATACAACAAGGGAATAAACCAGAAAAGAGAAAAACAGGGACCCGAGAAAGGAGGGATACAACACCAGAAAACAACAAAGGTAAGTTCTGAGATGAAAGCTGTGTAAGGAACCTAGAGAGCAATGGCGCAGATGGGAAGAGGAGGATGAAGAGCTCTGGCAGTGAAGAAAGTCTCCAGGGAAAGAAGTAGACTGGATAAAGTATCATCCTTGAGTATGTGAAAAATGTAAACACTTAATATTGATTTAACCCAAAGCTGTGATATAACTAGATTGGGTGAAAGACACAGGAGAGTATGGTGTATGATTGAGCTAAACCCTCAGCAGGAATCAATAAATAATCTTTAATGTCTTTGAACATGGCGGGAGATCCAGTATTTTTGAAGTGCTTTAGGATAAACCAGGATTCTCCCTAATAATAATGTTGAATGTAGCTGCAGGTGGGCTTTGATAGTACTTATTCCTGCATGGGTGTCCATATCCAAACTGTCATTCCTCCTGTCACAACTGGAATTGAACACCCTTGAACATGGGCTACACTGAGCTTGCTTTTCGCAACAGAACGCAGCAGAAATGATGCTGCATTACTTTTGTTTTTAACAGCTTTATTGAAATACCATGCAATTCACCCATCTAAAACACACAATTCAATGTGTGTTTTTATGGCATATTACATTATTAATTTTTTAAAACTGTGGCAAAATATGTAAAACAAAATTTGCCATTTTAACCATTTCCAAGTCCAATCCAGTGATACTAATTACATTCACCATGAAGTAGAAGCATTACCACTATTTCTAAAACCTTTACATCACCCCAAGCAGAAACTCTATAATCACTAAGCAGTAACTCCCCATCAATCACATCTCTCAGTCCCCTCTAATCTCTGTCTTGACAAATTTGCATATTGTAGCCACTTCATAGGAGTGGATCATATAATACTTGTCCTTTCATGTCTGTCTTGTTTCATTTTCCATATTTTCAAGGTTCATTCATGTTGCATGTACCAGAATTTCATTTCTTTTTATAGCTGAATAATATTCTATGTATATACCACATTTTGTTTATTTGTCCATCTTTCATAGGCACTTGGATTGTTTCCATTTTTTGGCTATCGAGAATAATGCTACAGTGATCATTGGCATACATGTATCTGTTGAGTCCCTGCTTTCAATTTCCTTGTGCATATACC